AAGAAGACTATTGGCTGGGTGTGGTGGCTGATGCCTGTAATCCCAGCACTTTGGGAGGCCGAGGTGGGCAGTCATATCATGAGGTCGGGAGTTCGAGACCAGCCTGACCTGGTGAAATGCTGTTTCTACTAAAAATACAAAAATTAGCTGGGCGAGGTGGTGGGCACTTGTAATGCCAGCTACTCAGGAGGCTAAGGCAGGAGAATTATTTGAACCCAGCAGGCGGAGGTTGCAGTGAGCTGAGATTGCCCCATTGTACTCCAGCCTGGGAGACAGGATGAGACTCCGTCTCAAAAAAAAAAAATAAATAAAATAAATCCTTTCTGGTTTTCCCATCCAAAGATAACCATGGTGAATACTTTGGGGTGGAGCTGTACTATTTTATTTTTGTATATGTACTTTTGTTCCCTTGGTAAGCCACATCACAAGTATATACTGTTGCCTGCTTTTTAAACTTACCCATATATTATAAATATTTACTGAGTGTCATGCTATAGATTCAATTTTGTACAGAAGTATATTTTATGTAGTTTTTCTTAAGACATCACTGAATAGAAATGGAGTCTATGGTATTAACCCATTTATGCCTGTCTTCCATTATTGGAACGCTAAGTTTGTGGGAATTATTTATACCCTACTGCTCAAGGTCATTACCAAGGTCTGATTCTCCACACAAAAAAATTGCAACCTCTGGTATAAATGGGTTAGCTGCTACCCAGCAAAGGCATTCCTTAGCTAAGCAGATATTGGTCCAGCTGAATTACTTAACTGTGATTTAACTCAGTATAGGACTAGCGTTTAGAAACCCAGAGCAATGGAAGATTCACTTGGCACTCTCACATTTCAGCTGTCTTATCTGGGCTTGAGCAAGAGTTGGATGTCAGTTCATTGAAAATGAGCTTTCTGGCAAGGCCTCTGCAAACGTTTTGTCGTTTTAATTAAGTGAGAGTTCTTTGCTCCTGGTAACAAATGTGTTGATGGCAAAGCTGACCTTTGCTTATGAAAATGAAGGAGCTGGACCTGTTGATATTGAAGAGCGGCCCCCTTGCTGCTTCAGCAGCATTTCCTTCAGTTCTTTGAAATTATTAATGCATCCCCTCCTCCTCCCTCAGGATGGTGGGGAATCATGATTTATGTTCCAGACCTCGTTCTCCACTTTGTGGAGCTGTTTAAGCTAAAGGACCCTAATTGAAAAGATCATAATTTCTTAAGATTGGAGGGTTTACAGAGACTTGACATCGAGCGATCACCCTCAAACCACCAGTCATTTAGAACAGAAAAGGACAACATAAGGTTTTTTTCCCCTGGATTACCTAAAAAGGAATAGATAATAATTAGGTGGAGTTACCATAAAACTGTAGGGTTGAGGTTAGACTGTCTGTCTTTAAAATTAATTGGTTTCTCTTCTTGGGCAAATTACACCATTTCAAGTCATAGTTGAGCCATTAATTGCATACGTGCTGGTTGTACTGCCAGGGCCTCCTTCACTGGATTCTGTCTGGTGGGGCACATAGGAAGCAGGGCCAAATTAAGATGAAGTTTAGTCCTCAATCTAATAGGAAAGTTCCTGGTGTTCTAAAGCAAAAACGTGTGAAATTTAAAGTCTTAAACTTTTATCCTGTAGCACTGTCTAAAGTTGATATAAGAAAGGGTTTCAATACATAGCATGAGACTCAGGTTTTTAGCCAGAAATGTAAGAAGCATTTCCACATTACCTTTGCTCCATGTACCCCTGAGACTGACGAGTCCATGTGGAGCCCACACTTTCCTGTCTTCCTTTTCTTTCACTACCTTATTGGATTTGTAAACTCTTATCTTCGTTAATAGTAAGTCATACTTATCTTGTGCCAGGCAGGCTTCTAAGCACTTTACAGAGAACTCATTTAACTATCACAGCAACCCCAGTTTACAGATAAGGAAACTGAGACACAGAGTAACTGAGCCAAAGTGGAGCTGGGATTCTCACCCCCGTGGCCTGATTCCAGAGCCAGCTCTTGACCGTGATGCTGTAGATTGCCTCCTTAGTATGTTGTTCTTTGAAGGCAGGAATTTCTTACCCACCCCATCTCCCAAATAACAGTATGGTGTTGTAGTATCTTCATGGCTTCCTAGCTTGAAAATTTCTCAAAGATACAAGATAGAAATGATCTCTGACCTTTTGAAACACATGGGGCACCATTAAGTCGCGTATTGTACATGAGTGGGCAGTATTCAGTCCACACATTTACTGACCTCTATTATGTGCCAAGCACTGAAATTATTTACGTCTTCAAAGAATTGTTATGATTGCCAAATGAAAACCATTTCTCCATAAAGAGAGCTTTATCAGGGGCTCCTTGATTTGAATGGGGGGGTCATTGCCGTATAATTTGGTCCTTGCTGACTTCCCAAAGCTGGAGAAGTTCTGAGAAGTTCTCTCTCCTCCAGATGTCACTGCATCGGAAGACTGTGTAGCTTGTCACACATTCCGTGCAGGTTGCAGTTCGGTCTCATTTGCAAAAGGACTTGTCCCTTTATAGGTGGGATCGGCTTTTCTTTAAATTAATTGCCACATCTCTGTGTGTGCTCTGCATCCTTTTTCTTCAGGAGCATGTCCTTTGTGAAAATGAAGTGCAGCACCTACTACAGTGTCTTTTAATACCAGGGAAGGAATGTATGGGCTGAATTTGGTTTTTTTTTTTTGTTCTTTGTTATGTGGCATAAGAATATGGGTCCATTTTAAATCCACTAACTAAGAGAATAACAACACCATCTTATGTCCATTCTGTGATTTTGACATCTCAGAAATTAGGATGCATTTTATTGTTATTGGCATCACGGGATTATGATTGGCAGTATTTTTTTAATTTGTTGTTGGTAGATAAAACAATGGTGCATCTTGCAATCAACATCCTAAATTTGATGAAAAATGGCATATATTTAATCCTTGCACTTTCTGAGAGGTGTGTTGGTGGAAAGTTGAATTCCATTGAATTTTGCCTCTACTTGAAAGAGATACATTTGAAGTTGTTTTTGTTTTTGATATTTGGGTTGGGAAGAGAAAAGCCAGTCATTTGTTTTCCAAGTACTTCATTGTAAGTTGTTTTTAAAGTTACAAAAGTCGTGTCATGTTTAGAATCTCAGTTTCTAAGAAGATGAAAAAAGTTCTGGAAATGGATGGTGGCAATGGCTGCACAATACTGTGAGTGCCGCTGAACTTCACATTTAGAAATGGTTAAGATGATTCATTTTACGTTACGTATATTTTATCACAGTATTTTTTTTCAAAAACAATTAATGTACTTACGCAGTTGTCCTTCCATAGAGAGATGCATAGAATAAAAAGTGAAAGTTGCCTTTGTACATACGCATTCCACCTCCTCCCAATTTCCCTCCTTGTGTACTTTTTCCCAGAGGTTTGATGTGCATCTTTTCAGATGTTTCTCTCCTAAGACTTTCCCTTAAAGATGTGTGTGGGTTTCATTAATCCTTCAAGTCATTTTTCTTTGTAATAAATACGCTTGTGACAGGTAACATAAAATTTGAGAGAACATCATCTGGTAACTGTGCTGTTTTGATCTTGGGATTAAATTTACTATTTTATTCTCCATGATATGTTTTTCTTGGAAGTAGTCTGTATAAATGAATTATTGTAGCTAAACAACTTTAGCTCTTAATGCATAGTGAAAAGAAAGTATGAGGAAAAGCGTGACATGGTAGCCGTAAGTTAGCTGCCCAGCAGAAGCAGCCTTTACGTGGTTTCCTTGCAGTTGACCACTCATCTTCCCTCTGTCGGTGGGCAGCTGTTGTCCCTGAAACCCGGGTTTGGGCTGCTGCAGTGGTTTACTCAGTGGTCTTCCTGTGTCCATTCTGGCTTCCTTCGGCCCTCTTCTCTCTTCCTGGGGAGTTCAGAATGTGTGGGCCTTCATCTTGTCTTCTGCCACATTCCCTTTAGAGGCTTCCTGTGGCCTTTGCAACACGGAGGCCTGCATCTCTGGTGCACTCTGCTGGGCCCTGCACATCTGCCTCTGTATTACTCCATTCTCACACTGCTGATAAAGACATACCCAAAATAGGTAATTTATTAAGAAACAGAGGTTTAATAGACTCAGAGCTCTATGTAGCTGAGGAGACGTCACAATCATGGTGGAAAGTGAAAGGCACGTCTTACATGGTGGCAGACAGGAGAGAATGAGAACCAAGCCAAAAGAGAAACTCCTTGTAAAACCATGAGATCTCATGAGACTTATTCACTACCATGAGAACATATGGGGGAAAGTGCCCCCATGACTGGGTCCCTCCCCCAACCTGTGGGAATCATGGGATCTATAATTCAAGAGGAGATTTGGGTGGGGACACAGCCAAACTGTATCAGCCTCCTTCCTTGCCTCACAACAGCCCTTTTGTGCCCTGAATTCCCTGATGTTTACCCTGTTTCAGGGGAAGGCTCCCTGTTCTGTTGGTCTACCTCATGTCCTGTGCTCTGCCCTTTGGGAGAGCTTCTCTTAGTTCACAGTAATGAATTAAGTTCCATTCTCATCAGTCTCATTATTCTGATAAGTGTCTGTCTTTCCTGATGTCCCCTCCATGAGTTGGGGACCATGTTTTTGTTTACCACTGCATCCCTTTGGCTTAGTACATACTTGGCACTTGGTTCAAAGAAAAGTTTTTGAGTGAACCAGCTGATTTTTGTTTTTTGTTTTGCAGAGCTTAGAAGTTTGTAGGTGGGGAGTTGATAATATCACAGAATTAGTCTGTATATCTAGACCGTGGTGCCCTGGCAGTTTGGTTTTCAGCCATAACTAAACAGTTTTAACACTCATCATTTTTTGTTGGGATTTTTTTGAAAATTAGACTTTGCAATACCCAGTAACCGGGGCTTTCATTAAGAGGAAGCAGGCAGGCCAAGTAGCTTTTCCTCATCCCATTGAACATGGCGATACAAAATGAGCAGATACGTGAATTCCTGAAAATCAGCTTGGAATAAACTGTTCTCTAACCGATACTTATTTTAATTCCAGAACGTGGTCCAAGACAATTCCTGGGAAAGTTGAATTCTTCTCGAGTGAGGGTTCTGACACATCTGTACCAATTCCAGTAGTGCCACTACGGGGTGTGGATGACTCCTACCCGCCCCAGAAGAAGTCTTTCATGATGCTCAAGTACATGCATGACCACTACTTAGACAAGTATGAATGGTTTATGAGAGCAGATGATGACGTGTACATCAAAGGAGATCGTCTGGAGAATTTCCTGAGGAGTTTGAATAGCAGCGAGCCCCTCTTCCTTGGGCAGACAGGCCTGGGCACCACGGAAGAAATGGGAAAACTGGCCCTGGAGCCAGGCGAGAACTTCTGCATGGGAGGGCCTGGCGTGATCATGAGCCGGGAGGTGCTTCGGAGAATGGTGCCGCACATTGGCAAGTGTCTCCGGGAAATGTACACCACCCATGAGGACGTGGAGGTGGGAAGATGCGTCCGCAGGTTCGCAGGGGTGCAGTGCGTCTGGTCTTATGAGGTAAGAACAGAATTCTTTACCATGGGAAAAACTTAATTTTGTCAACTTTGTCATTAGTTCTGAGTGTGTCATAGGAAACTAGAGATGATACTCTTTTCTGGGGTTAAAGTTGGTATTATTCTACATTTTTATCGTTAGATTAAAAAAAAAATAATGGCATTTGGGGTGTAAAGAAAAGATAATGGCTTGCTGATGGTCACAGTGATATTTTCTTGATTATCCAGAAAATCATCTTGTGTAACTTTTGCTGATTCCACAGATGTAATTGCTGGAGTGTAGGGTATCTCCCTGTTTGTTTTCCCAAAGGCCTGGCTGTTCTCATCTGGTCATAATGACCTACATAGTTTAGAAACTTAACGTGTTTTGAATTTGTAAAAGGAATCATGGTGTGAAACAGCCATTAGCATTTGGCTTTGCATTTGTTGTGTACCTTGAGCCTTCAGATAGTTAATTATGGTCTGTGAGTTTACAAATAGTTGTTGCTTTCAGAGTAGCTGTCATGTCAGCTTCTTGACATATACATGAAATTTGCCGAAGGAAGTCTGCTTGTAGATGTTTTCTCTGTCACTGTTGTAGAGAAGATGAGTTGGCTTTGGACTTGCCTCTGTTGTGATTGGCGACTTGCCCCCTTTGCCTGCACTTTGCAGGATCTGATATCGGTCAGGGGGAAAAAAGTTATGTAGGTTGTGTTGTCTTTAGGTTCATAAACTACTGGCAGTTGTGAGGTCAGAAGGAATTGCTAGATCTTTTGTCTAAGAAAAAGAATCCACTTGCTGATATGAACTGTTAGCTTTTCTCTGAACTAACTTTCTAAAGCATGTACTTGAGTGAAAGAATAGTGTTCTTGCCTGTACTTGTCTACCCCTTGACTTGCTTTTAGATGTCTGCTAATCACTTGTATTTATTTCTTTGTTTGAACTTTAGGGAAGTGGACATTTTCAAGTATGCAGGGTGTGGTCATGTAATTTTTAATTATAAAGTCACAAAGATACATTTTAAATTCCGAATGTGATCTTGAGTGAACTCTTTAAGCCCTGTGTGCCTTACGTTATCCCCCCCAAAACCCAGCACATAGGGGATGGCATACTAGGCCTACAGGATCTCTGCCTTGTCACAGATTTTTGCAGCGAGGAAAGCTGTTTTAGGATTTCACGGTGCTTTAAGCAGAATACAGCTGGCAATATTTCTGCATTTTCCCCATCCTAATTAAGTAGTTATAGCCTTGACACATTTCATTATGGTTAAAATACGTAATACGTTGTATACTTTGGAACACTTTCCCCTGATCATCATTTCTGAGAAGCCAGCTTTCTTGCTGGAATCATAAAAGAGAGACCTTCTTTTGGGAGAGAATTTTTAAAAGTATGTCTTAGGGTGGTCTTGTTGTTATATATTGCTGGATAGACACCAACAGAGCCAGTATCTTCAGTTTGATCAAGAACTTGGTTTTAGCATTAGTGCCAAGATGTAGTTAGAAAGTGTCATTCTGGGGTTGTGGGGGTGGGAAGCTGTTACAGGGATGGTTTTCCACTGATATAATGTAATCAGAAAAGGTTTCTGATGGCCTGTGAAGGGGTGCCTGAAATTATCCTGTCTGGACACTTGGAGTCTCCTCTTAGGCTTGATGCCACCGTACCTGGTTAATTTTTGTATTTTTTTTTTTTTTTTTTTTTTTTTTTAATTTTTGTATTTTTAGTAGAGACAGGGTTTCACCATGCTGGCCAGGCTGGTCTTGAACTCCTGACCTGAGATGATCCTACCTGCCTTGGCCTCCCAAAGTGCTGGGATTACAGATGTGAGCCGCCAAGCCTGTCCAGTGGCTCTGCACTTCCTTAAATGCTGTGTGGTGACAGAGCTTTGACTCAGTGTTTCGGGCTTCTCAGGGGCTTGTGCCGCAGGGCCCTCCCACCTGCAGTACCCAGAGCCTTGCTTGTGTCTTGGCCCACATTTCTGCTGAAATGTTGTCTGTCTTATGGTTTTGTTGAAGTGCTTTATTGTGGATAGAGTATCTCTTCTCAGAGTACCTTAATTGTGGAATTTTTATTGTCCATGAATTGTGAATCTTAAGTGCAGTCTAATGCATCGTTGTTTACCTTTACAGTTTATGCTTTTGTGCCTTGTTTAAGAAACTCTTCCCTTCCTTAAGTCACAAAAAATTTTTCCCCTATATATTTTCTTACATGTTTAAAGTGTTGCCTTTGACATGTAGTTCCTTATTATAAATTTAAGAGTTACATCTATTGGAATATTTACCATCTTTGATTTCTATTTTTTTTTTTTTTCTTTTTGTGAGGCTTTAAGTGCTTCTAACCTAAGTTGTTATTAGGGTTTATCATTGTGTTCACCACTCAGGTAAGATTAATCCTTCGTGTGGATGAGGAAGTTTTACTTAACTTCCTGTAAATCTAGTTTCCCCATTAAGGCTCACATTATGGGAAATTATCGAGGTGGAGTCTTATGTTAAAGACAATTATGTTAAGCTTTGGGACTTGGAAGGCACTTATTCTGTCCTTTTATAAACCTAGCCAGAAGGTAGAATTTCTTTTTGGCAAGTAGAAATAATACCTTGGGATAACACTTAGGTAATTAAAATGACTTGTGAGGAACAGCTGTCAAAATCAAAGTCCAGCTTCATTTCTAAACTTGTTTTGTTAATTATTGGTGGTTATTAATAAATAGCGCAGAGAACTTTGTTTGGAAATAATGTTAAATTCATAGAAAAGTCACAGAAGGGTGAGAGCGTAGGCCTTGAGGCTGGAGAAGAGCTGAGAGGAGCTCAGCTCCTGGTACCCCTAGCCACGTGGTGTCAGCAGTATTGACTCAACTCAGGCGAGGTTTTTTGAGAATTATTATTGAAAAATTTGAAATAGGAATTCATTTTATCTAGACAAATATATGAAATACTATACTATTAATAAGAGGGAACAAAAAGTTGACTTAGGTAACCTGTTCATTCTGTATTTAACTTTTGAGTTGATGTGTATTACACCTATGGAAAAGTGCACAGGTCGTAAGTGTGGGACTCAGTGGATTTTCACAGACTGCATGCAGGCAGCCGGTACCCAGATCTGTCTTTCTTTTATTTTCACATGTTTGACTAGGGGTGAAGGTGTAGACAGTAATCATTATTAATGACATTTGGAGATAGGCAGAGGTAGATTTGACAACTTTAATATGTTAATTGTTTTTAATAGCAAATAAATCCTGTTACGTGACTCAAAATTCAGAAGTGCAAAGGGCTTCCAGGAATACGTCTTTCTACATCTGCCTCCAATCCATTGTGAGTCGGCCACCGCCGTGCCTCCTTATGGAGGTATCCTGTGTGTCATATCATATACAAGCAATTAAGTTTCTGTTTCTCTCCCTATTTATATGAATGGTAGCATAATACCTACTATCTGCATCTTGGAAGATTTCCCATTTGGTAAATAAAAGAACTTTGTCTTTTTGATGGACATTCAGGCTATTTCTAGTTCTTTCAGCAGTGTTTCTAGGCAGCCATTTAGCCTGAGGCTCCCCCACCTTTTTTCCCTCATGACATTGACTCAATTCACTCACATGGAGGAGCCTGCCTCCAAGGGCTGCTATTACCCCAATCCCTAGCTGCTGCCCAACCACCGCCCCCCCCAACCACCCCCCCTACAGCCTCATACCACCCTAGGCCTGGAAGGATTGTTATCTGGGCACACGTGGAACTTGTTCATGTTACACCCGCATGCCAAAATAAACCAGTTATGAAGCTCTGAGTTAGCCATCAAGTACTTGTTCAGGGCTCATTAATGAGCCTAAAACTGCCCTCCGAATTGGAGAAAAACTGCAAAAAGATTGAAACATGAATGGCCGCCTTTTTCTCCCTCAAGGGCTTTAGAGTAGTTGAGGAGACAAAGACCATATGTTCATGAAACAGTTGAGAGAAATAAAAAATATGAAACCCAGTGATACTGATTTTAAATACAAACCAGTGCAGGGAAGGGTGAAATGGTAACATTCTTTTTATAGGGAGGCATGTTATCAGGGGAAACTGGAGTTTGCAGCAAAATGTGTAAAAAGATAAAGTCTTCCTTGTTGGTCTGACTGTCTTATAAAGGAATGTTGAGAATCCATATACCAGAAGCCTGGGATATTTTTCCCTTTACTAATAGAAAAAATGTTTTTTTCTTAAATTGACACATTATAATTGTACATGTTTGTGGGATTATAGTTTAATGTGTACGTGTATATGTTGTATAATGATCAAATCAGGAAAAGGTTAACACATCCATCACATCATGAGAGGTTTTTGAATGTTCTCACTACAAAGAAATAATTTTTCTTGACTGTTAGTTGTCATGGAGATGGTTTGTGTTACAGTATTTCCTTCTTCACTCATTTAGGCTGCCCATTAACCTCGCAGGCCTGAGAACCGGGCAGACCCTCAGTGGCTAGAATAGATGTTCCAAAGGCTGAGCACTAATGCTGCATGTTCTATCCATTATCAAAAGTGGGGGATTGAAATCTGTAACATTATTATTATTATTAATTATTATTATTATTTTGAGATAGAGTCTCGCTCTGTCACCCAGGCTGGAGTACACTGGCATGACCTCAGCTCACTGCAACCTCTGCCTCCTGGTTTCAAGCGATTCTCGGGCCTCAGTTTCCTGAGTACCTGGGATTACAGGAGTGCACAACCATGTCCAGCTAATATTTATTTTTCTTAGGGACAGAGTTTTACCATGTTGACCAGACTGGTCTTAAACTCCTGGCCTCAAGTGATCTGTCTGCTTCAGCTTCCCAAAGTGCTGGGATCACAGGTGTGAGTCACTGCACCTGGTCTGAAGTCTCTTAACATTATTGTTGAGTTGTCTGTTTCTTCCTTCAATTCTGTCAGGTTTTTCTCCTTTTATTTCAGGGCTGTGTTTTGGGATGTGTATATGTTTATATTTGTTATATCTGCTTGATGGATAGATACTTATTGTAAAATTTCTTCTTTGTCTTTAGTAACAATTTCTGTCTTAAGTCTGTTTTGTCTGATATTAGTATAATGACTCCAGTCTTTTCGTTACCATTTGCATGGTATATCTTTTTTCATTCTTTTACTTTCAACTTGCTTGTGGCATTGAACATGAAGTGTGTATTTCATGAAGACAGCCTACAGTTGGATCATTTAAAAAATTCATTCTGCCAATTTTGCCTAAGAATTGGAGTGCTTAATTAATTTGCATTTACTATAATTACTGATAGAGGAGGACTTATGTCTGCCATTTTGCTATTCTCTGTATGTCATGTCTTCTTTGTTCTTTTGTTACTCCAATATTGCCTTTTTTGTGTGTTAAATAGGTATTACCTAGTGTACCATTGTAATTCCCTTGTCATTTCTTTTACAGTATTTTTTAAAGTTTACTTAGTAGTTGCCCTGGGGATGAACACCTTACTTGATAATTTAGTTCAGATTAATACCAATTTAACAATAGTAAACTCAAGATTTGCTCATGGGTAGCTACGTTCTCTCCTGTCTTTCTGCTGTTGTTGTCAAACAAATTACATCTTTATACGTTGTATGCCAGTCAACACAGATTTATAATAATTGCTTATGTACTTGTCTTTTAAATCAGATCAGGGAAAAAGGTAATTACAATAAAAAATACATTTATACCCTCTTTTACCTATGTAGTTACCCTTACTGGGCTTTTTATTCATGTCAGTTTGAGTTACTATATAATGTTCTTTCATTTAAACTTGAAAGACTTCCTTTAATATTTTTCATGGAGGAAGTTTGCTAGAGATGAATTCTCTTAGTTTCTCTTGGAATGTCCTAATTTCCCCTTCACTTTTTTCCTAATTTCTCCTTCACTTTTGAAGGACATCTTTGTTGGATATAGCATTCTTGGTTGCTAATCTTTTTCTTTTAGCACTTTGAATGGAAGGTCTCTGGTGTTCATGGTTTCTGGTAAGAAATCAGTTGTTAATCTTATTGAGAACCTTTTGTATGTCATGAATTGCTTTTCTTGCTACTCCTAAGGTTTTCTTTGGCTTTGAACAATTTGATTAGGATGTGTCTAGGTGATCCCTTTGAGTTTATCATACTTGGAGTTTCTTGAGTCTCTTGGATATGTGGCTTGTTTTTCATCAAATTTGGGGATTTTTCAGTTATTATTTCTTGAGTATTTCTGCCCCTTTCTCTCTATTTTCCTTTGGAACTCCCATCATGCTGTGTTCTACTCATTTTTACTCCTGTTTTCTTTCTCTTTCTCGGACTAGATAACTTCAATGGCCTACTTTCAGATCATGGATTCTTTCTTCTGCCTGTTCAAATCTGTTGTGATGTTCTCATTTCAGATATTGTACTTTTCAACTCCATAATTTCTATTTGGCTCTTGAAAAATACAAATAATTTCTGTCTCTGTATTGGCTGCCCTTTCCCCCTTGGTATGGGCCATACTTCTTGTTTCTTCGCATAGCTCATAATTTTCTTTGGAAACTGGACATTTACATACTGTTATTTAAATGTGGCAACTCTTGAAATCACATTCTACACCTTTAGGGATGTTATTGCTGGTTTTTGTTGTTTGTTTGGTGTCTTTTCAGAACCAGTTCTGTATAGTGTGTTCTTTTTTGTATGTGGCCACTGAAGTCTCTACATGATTTGCTGAGTGCTTAGCTAATGACTGGACAGAGTTTTCCTTAGGTGCCTGGAACTAAAAAGTTTCTGACTTTTTGCTGAGGGGCTATGTGTACCTGTTGGTGCTTGCCCTAAACACTCACCAGGCAGTTGACAACTCTGCCTTAACCTGTACTTAACTTGCTTGTGCAGAGAGCTTAGGGCCTTCTTGGATCTTTGCTGAACCTGCTCACGCACCCCCCCACACACATGCATGTGGCCTTGTAGATTCCCAGGAATAATAAATAATATAGTGAAGTTTTTCAGAACCCCATATCACATCTTATTCCCTGCTTTTCTTTTTAAGCTTTTTTTTTTTTTTTTTTTTTGCCTTGATGGTTAGCCATCTGCGTGGGCAGTGCAGTGTTCAACAATTGCCTATGATTGTTTTTGACCAGCCTGCTTTCCCCTTACAAGAGGCTGTTTGCAATAGGAAAATTCTGAGTCAGGTCAAATGAAGACAACATTGCAAGGTCTTCCAGGGAACTACCAGATAGATCAGAGATAATGGCAGTTCCTTGGGAATGGGACTTTGAAGGAGCTCCAGCACCTCTTTGACCCCTCTAGTGGCTTCCAGGCTGCTGGATTTTGCTATGATTGTAGACTGTTGTTTGTCAAGGCTAGGGTAGAAAACAGGCTGAAAATAGGGCAAATTAAAATGCCATAAAGCTTACTGTTACCAAAAATTTCATCTTTTTCTTCTATAAATGTTGTCTGGATTACTGCAGATCTTTAATATTCAGAGTCTTGTAAAGGTTGCCTCTGCCCATTTTTGCCAGTGTTCTCTTGACTTTTAGGGCAGACAGAATTTTTGGAGGTCTTCACTCTGCCATTTTCACTGATGTCACCTGAGAGCATCCATTATGGGGCTTTAGCTCCACAGCTTAAATTTGGCTTTTTGTAATTAGATGAATTACGCTGAATGTCCCCTTATACGCTATTTAAGAAGTCAGGGTATCATGCCCTAAAAATTAGAAAGACCTTCAACCACTTAGTTACAATATTCAATATTCACATACATTCATTTCAAAAATAAATTTTGGATATCTGTTAGCAAGAGACTGTGCTAGCTAGGGACACAGCAGTGCAGAAAGCCAAGACCTTGGTCTATATGCTGGTGGAGCAAGGTGGGGTGCTGTGAAACAGACAGTGCAGAGGAGTATGTGTGGTTTTAGGACATAGCATGGTGGCCAGCACGACTGGAATGGAATGACAAGGCAGAGCAGGGTGAAGGGTGAGGCCAGACAGCAACAAAGTTGAGGGGAGGCAGGGAATGCTAAGGACATTGGTTTGGGCACAAATAGGCATGGCTTGAATCACGAGGCTTCATTCAGCTTAGTTCTTCATTAGCTGTGTGGTCTTGGGCAGCAAGTTACCCGACTCCCCTGAACCTTAATTTCCCTAAAAATGAAATTGTCAGTTTATCCTTGGGTGGTTCCAAGGATAAATTGAGATGCTGCATATTACCTATTATCATAGCTCATGTTTGGGACAGACGAGTGCTTGTAAAATGTGAGGGCTACCAGAAACTATCCTCACGTATCTGAAAAGCAAATCCCTTCAGAACCCATTCCCTGAGACCGCCGGATAGATTCTGACCTATATAAACAAATGCTTGAATATGATTTGTAGTAACGTTGTAGTCTTGGAATCCCATGTTTTTGTTTACAATTTAGGAAGACTATTTTGACAGAACCAATCATAGTTTACCTAAAATGGATGTGTTAGTTGCTTTGGATCTGTGTTTTTTTCTTTCTTTCTTTCTTTTTTTTTTGGCAAAACAAACCTTCTTCAAGTACGTGAACATCTCTGAAATGGTTTCACCATTTGGTATATCAGAGTCCTGTGATTGTGAGGGCCTCTGAGCACATTCTCAGGAGGTGGGATTGATAGATCTTTTTTTTTTATCTTAAGGCATAACACAATGGCATTTCCTGTATACAGTTGAAGACATTGAGATCACAGCTCTTATCACGTCAGTTCCTATAATAGAACTGATGAGTTAGCTTGTTCTCACACTGCTATAAGGAAATACCAGAGACTGGGTAATTTATAAAGAAAAGAAGTTTAATTGGCTCATCCTTCCATAGGCTGTACAGGAAGCATAGCATAGGTATCTGTTTGGCTCCTGGGGAGGCTTCAGGGAGCTTTTACTCATGGTGGAAGGCAAAGGGGAAGCAGGCATCTCTTTTTTTTCTTTCTTTTTTTTAATTTAAATTTCCTGGCAAACTTTCATTTAAAGCAGGCATCTCACATGGCAAGAATGGGAGCAAGGGAGTCGGGGTGGCACACATGTTTAACCAACCTGATCTTGTAAAGAACTCACTGTTAGGAGGACAGTAGAAAGGCTAAACCATTTATGAGGGATCCACCCCCATGATCCAGTCGCCTCCCACCAGGCTCCACCGCCAACCACTGGGGATTACATTTCAACATGAGATTTGAATGGAGACAAATATCCAACTACATCACCTGGTAATCTGCCTCTTAAAAAGTACATCAATATTCAAAGCATTTTGAGATAAGAATAAAACAAGGCTCGACAGTGGTTCACTCCTGTAATAGCAGCACCAAGGTGGGAGGATCACTTGAGCCCAGGAGTTCAAGACCAGCCTGGGCAACAAAGTAAGACCCTGTCTCTGCCCAAAAAAAAAAAAAAAAAAAAAAAAAAAAAATTAGCTGGGCATTTTGTTGCACGCCTGTGGTCCTAGCTCCTTGGGAGGTGAGGCGGGAAGATGGCTTGAGCCTGGGAGGTTGAGGGTGCAGGAGTTGTGCTTGCGCCGCCGCACACCAAGGCAGAATACTGTCAGCTACACGGGAAAGCACAGGGTGGGTGCCGGGAACAATTAGAGCAGGCAGGACGAGCTGGGGAGCTGTAGGGGCACTCTGATTGCCTGGGCCACACCCTTCTGTAAAGGCGGCTGGGTTTCTGCACTGTTCCAATCATGAAGGATCCTTGCACATTTTTTTTTCTTTCTCAGGTATGCCTTTATTAGTAGGAAAACAGCCTTGCACGTTTTTAAGAGGTCTTAAGATGGCAGCAGTAGAGCTTTTTGAGTCTTTAGTTCTAATATTTAATCATCTTTATTGAACTAATAAGACTATCTGGTGTTTAAAGAGGATCAGGTGAGAGAACAAAGGCGAAGCTGGCTCTGGTGGTGGCAGTGTTATTTGGCTAAGCCAGTGTCATCTGGGATAGGACAGTCAGAGGTAAAGCGTGAGATTTAGAGGTGTGTGGACGTCAACTATTAGCATTGCCGGTGGGTCTTAGACCAGGTGGGAGTTTTTCAGGAGCAGACCGTCTGCAAGAGAGTCACTCGAGGTGATTGTTAATGGACAAATTTCTGGACCCCAGACTTGGCAGGTAGAGTCCAGTGATCTGCACCATTTACAGGCCTCTCTGGTGAATCTTATACTTGCTAGTATTTAATAACCATCATTGCCATTTATGCTTTTAAAATGTTTCTTATGATTTAGTGATGTTATGGATGTGTGAAAACTGAAGTTAGGTTTTTGTTAAGTGACATCATCCCATTTAGCCCTGGGTCCTAGAGAACAGAAAAGGAATTGGACTTTGGTCTTTCTAAGAAGTAACTTTTATAAAGTCAGGTTGGTGAGAATCCAGACTTGGCTCACAAATGCCCCCAGTCACATGTTTGATAGGTTAATTCTTTCCCTTCTTTTCTCCTCTGAGCCATGCTACTGGCAATGACTTGTATAACCGGTTGCAGTCATGTCTTACTTAATGACAGGGATACATTCTGAGAAGTATGTCCTTAGGTGGTTTTGTTGTGTAAACATCATGCGGGCACTTACACAAGCATAGATGGTACAGCCTCCATCTATGGCTCCTAGGCCACAAACCTGGACAGCATGTTACTGTGCTGAATGCTGTAGGCAGCTGGAACACAGTGGTAGGGGTTTGCATATCTAAACATATTTCAACATATGAAAGGCACAGTAAAAACGAGGCGTTGGCATCTTACAGGACCACAGTATAAAGGTCTGTTGTTGACTGCAGCATCTTTACAGGGGCCATGACCGTAAAAGTGAGCAGATGAATGGTCAGCAGTGAATCCCAAGTCACAGTGTGGAAATACTCTGTATTAGATAATATGATGAAAACAAAGAGCTTTTGGCCAGGGATTAAACTGACAAACACCTTAAAGCTAAAACTAGATGATACTTTAAAACATCTTTTGTTTCTGCAGTTGATTTCACAAATGTTCATGTGGTTTGGTTATAATCCTTCTTAAGCCTTAGCTTTTGTTAGTCACCATGAAGTGTAACTCTAAATTTATTTATCAAACAAATTATAGTTTAAAGAAAGTGGTTGGCTGGGTGTGGTGGCTCACCCCCTGTAATCCTAGCCCTTGGGAGGCCGAGGCAGGTGGATCACCTGAGGTCAGGAGATGGATACCAGCCTGGCCAACATGTTGAAACCCGGTCTCTACTAAAAGTACAAAAAATTAGCCCAGCATGGTGGTGAGCGGCTATAATCCCAGCTGCTCAGGAGGCTGAGGTGGGAGAATCACTTGAACCTGGGGGCAGAGATTGAAGTGAGCTAAGATTGCACCACTTTACTCCAGACTGGGCAAAGAGCAAAGCTTCATCTAAAAAAAAATAAATGTAGTTGACAAAGTATTTGTTGATCACTGTGGTGGTTTTAATGCTTGTTTTGAAGTCTGATAATCTTCCTCCTGGAAATGGAGAGCTTAATTTCCCTCCTCTTGACTGTGGGGGGACATAGTGACTCAGTTCTACTGAATGGAGTGGAGCATGGGAATCTGCTGGATTCCCATGTGAGTGAGTCACATTTGTATCAGTTACCCCCAGCCTGATGGCATGAGAAGGAGACTTTACCTCTGCAGTCTTCCTCAAATCCACAACCCCAGTTTAATCAGGAGAAAACTTCAGACAAACCCAAGGTGTGGGACTTTCCACAAAATACCTGACCATTGTTCTTCAAAAGTGTCAAGGTTGGCTGGGTGCGGTGGCTCATGCCTGTAATCCCAGCACTTTGGGAGGCTGAGGTGGGTGGACCACGAGGTCAGGAATTTAAGACCAGCCTGACCAATATGGTGAAACCCCGTCTCTACTAAAAATATGAAAATTAGTCGGGTGTGGTGGCACATGCCTGTAGTCCCCGCTACTCGGGAGGCTGAGGCAGGAGAATCGCCTGAACCCAGGAGGCAGAGGTTGCAGTGAGCCAAGATCGTGCCACTGCACTCCTGCCTGGGTGACAGAGCAAGACTCTATCTCAAAACAAAACAAAAAAAGTATCAGGGTCACAAAAAGCAAGGAAAGACTGGGAAACTGTCACAGGTTAGCGGTGACCAAGAAGATGGGATTACTAAATGTGCTGTGGTACCCTAGGTTGGAAGACAAAAGGGACATTAGGGGGAAAACTGGTGAAATCTGAATAAAGTGTACACTTTAGGTAATAGTGTGTACATATATCAGTTTCTTAGTTTTGTTCTGTGTAGCATAGTTAAGTGAGATGTTAGCATTAGAAAAAGTGGGGCAAAGCTGTGGGAACTCTTTCTGCCGTCTTTACAATTCTCCTTTAAATCTAAAATCGTCTTGAAGTACAAAGTGGCTAGAACCAAGAGAGGATCTAATTGGACACAAAAGTGATGTCGCTGTCTCTGCATCTGTATCCTGATGGCTTCTGTGTGCCAAGGGGAAACTGGGCAAAGCAGTAGAAGACTAGATCCTCTGTGACTCTAAGTGGATATTGTGCAGGATGTGATTTTCAGCTTATTGACTTCTAGGAACTCTCAGACAGAAGGTCTTTGTGTGTGAGCGCTGCAGACTTCTAACCCTTACAAAGAGCTTATCAGTTGAGCAAGCTTATAATGTGCTGTGTTATTACTGTAAAAAAATTTGTAATGGTACCATTACAGCAAAATGTTTCCCTGGCTAAAAAGACCTTTCAGCATTCACTCAGCGATTTAATGCTCAGGCTTGGTGACGTCATCTTGGTTCACCCTCTAGTATTTGGCTTCAGTGTTTTCTCTCATTGAACCCTTGTAGGGATTAATAAAAAAAAAAAAAAAAAAAGAAAGAAAAAAACAGTACAGAGTTATTTTCTTTGATGTCTAGCACTTATTTCCACAGCCTTTTCTTTAAAAAACAAAACAAAAAGTTCCCTACGACAGAAAAATACTATAGGTGCTAGTTTTCCTTTCACATATATTAACACGTTTGTGCGTTTCTCCTGCAACAGATAACACTGGTTTTAAAGACAAAATTTTTATTTTAAATGATGTGGTTTATTTAAGGCAGAAAGTTGAGTATGGTTTCATTTATTTTTACCACTTGAGGAATGCCTGTTTGTTTTTTAGGTGTTTATATATTAATTCTGTAATAATTTAGAATTCTAGTTACTTTATTAGGGTAAGATGAGCATGGATATTGAAGTACCCCAGATAATACAAACATATTTAATTTTTAAAATTATATATATATATATATATTAGTAGAGAGAGAGAGAGAGAGAGACTCAGCCTGTCACCCAGCGTAGCATGCAGTGGGACAGTCTCAGTTAACTGCAGCCTCCATCTCCTGGGTTCGAGAGATTCTCGTGCCTCAGCATCCTGAGTAGCTGGAATTACAGGCCTGTGCCATCACACCTGGTGAATTTTTTTTTTTTTTTTTTTTTTAGTAGAGAGGATTTTGCCATGCTGGCCAGGCTGTTCTCTAACTCCTGACGCCAAGTGATCTGCCCACCTCGGCCTCCCCAAGTGCTGGGATTACAGGCCTGAGCCACCACACCCGGCTTGTTAATACAATATTTTAAAAAAACTGTCTGCGTACCTGTTATGTGACATAGGGGCTGCTGCAGTGAACACAGCAAAGCTGTTCTCACAATGCATTTGTTTCTCTATGGAGATGTCAGAAAATAAGGAGACAAATAAATAATGGCAGGTGGCACTGAGTCCGAAGCAGTGCAAGCATGATAAGGCAGTAGACTGATGGAGGGACAGGGGCTGCTTGTCCAGCTGGGAGAGTGGTAGGCAAACCCTGGTCATACCTGGAAAAGGACCTTTTGAGCAGTCAGACGGAAGGGAATGGGGTATGTCCGTAGCTAAGAAAACATGGAAGCTGAGCTGTTAGAGCATGTAAGCGAAAGGGGCAGTGCCCTGTGAGGCCTGTCCCCTTCTGTGATAAGAATACTGGGTGTTAGAGTCATTGAGCTGAGAGGGCCCCGAGGGTTGGGGCAGAGGAGCCTCCATTTCCAGAGGGCCCTGCAGCTCAGTGCATGGAGAAGCAGCTGCAGAGTTGGAGCGGGAGGTTGGTTGGCAAGCATGCTGATAGCTCTCAGGAGAGGCGTGGGGAAGTGGCTGGGACCAGGTGATTGGTGAGAAGTCGTTGGAAGGTAGAATTTTGCAGGTAGAGCTGATAGGATGTGGGGAGATAGACAAATTGCCTGAGCAGTTGAATTCCCAGGGAGCTCAGAAGGATAGAGTTCCTGGTGAAGGGTAAGACTGGGGAAGTTAAGGCTTGATACACAAATACCATTGTCAGCATATCGATGGTGTTTAAGACCAGAGGACAAATGACAGCACATGGCAGGTTAGGGAGATAGAGGCAGGGTCTGAGGGCTGAGTCTAGAGGCTCCCATGGGTTAGAGATTAGAGATGAGGGGGCACCAGCTGAGGAGACTGAGCAGGTGAAGCCAATTAAATAGGAGGAAATTTTGATTTATATTTGCTTAGTTTGCACTTGGAATGCTTGAACAGCTCACTGTTTGGGTACTTATTACATTAATAGTTGGCTTGGAAAGTGGGTATGTGGGAGATTCTTCTCAAAAGTGAATATTATGTTTAAAAAGAATCCTCTGGTACGGGTGGACAAGAATGGGAGACGTGCCGGCATAACAGTAGGAAAATTTTTTCTCTGCTGATGACTGGTGTATGAGACTTACTTGAAAATAATAAACCTCAAAGGCAGCCCGAGAACTAGTGGACCACAGATGGTGGGTGGTCAGCACCTTGGCAGAGCTGAGTGGTGTGTGTTTGGAGAAGTAAGCTGTGGAGCATGGGCTCCATGGTTATAGAGGTTTTATTTACCATGACATATGATGTTTGCTTATATTGATTTAAAAATGTATGGTTTGTTTATTTTTAAAAAGATAATCCACTCCTCCCTGCCGTGGAACTGGATGCATCCTCCTGAAGCTGCTTTGTATCTTTACCAGCTGCATAGAGATGTACCAGGGCCTCAGCCTTTGCTTTGCAGTCTTCAGTCTATCAACTTTTAAGAGACTGAATGCTGTTGATCGCTTGGGGATCTAAGCCTTTGTAATACTTACAGTAGATCAATATGACTTCTAAGCAGACACTTAACTTGGAAAGCAGAAATCACTATTAATTTCAGGGGACAGTTATAATTGAACATTGATTCAGTTAAGCCTTTGTAATAACTAGATTTTTTTGGAGGTAGATGAGGTTTAAGGGTTTCTTATACTTTTGTTACAGAGAGAAACCCGTTTAAACTGCGTTCTTCTAAGCCTCTGCTTCGTCTTCCGTAAAACAGGGTTATTTAACTTATCCAATGTTGTATTGCTTGTAAAGAGATAGATGGAGAGTTTTAATCCTGGTGGGCTGACTTTAGCGCCTGCAGTTTGAACTCTAATGATCACATTTTCTTTTTCTGTATGATACTGCACTGTACCTTTTTATTGTAAATACCGCCAATATTTTTTTTTAAAGAACCAATAAAGTTGAAATGTTGAGAATTTTTGACAAAGGGAAAATCATGGCTCTTACATTTCTTTACTTGGTGGGATGCTTTTAGTATACTCATATGTTTAAGAATAAGAATATATTCAAGTGACAGCTGTAGGACCTCACAGAGATGTTTGTTTTTGAAACAGCGTCTTGCTCTGTCACCCTGACTGGCATGACTGTAGCTCAGTGCAGCCTCAAACTCTCGGGATCAGACAGTCCTCCCACCTCAGGCTTCTGTTGGCCTGAGCCACCATGCCTGGCCTGTTTTAACATAAATTTAACTTTAGGAGAGTTTTATTTTTTATGTATGTATGTATGTATTTATTTTTGAGACAGAGTCTTGCTCTGTCACCTAGGCCAGAGTGCAGTGATGCGATGTCGGCTCAGTGCAACCTGTGCCTCCTGGGTTCAAGCAATTCTCCCGCCTCAGCCTCCCTAGAAACTGGGATTATAGGCACCCGCCACTACATCAGGCCAATTTTTTGTATTTTTAATAGAGACAGGGTTTACCACGTTGACCAGGCTGGTCTCAAACTTTTGACCTCAGGAGATCTACCTGCCTCAGTGTCCCAAAGTGCTGGAATTACAGGCATGAGCCACTGTGTCCAGCCAGACAGTTGTAGATTTACAGAAAAATTATAAAGATAAAAATCTATGCTTTATTTAGATGTCCTTAGCTTTGACCTGCTGTCTTCTTCTCTCTTGTATCTCCAGGCT